AGGACGCGCGAGGCCGCTTCCTCCCCACTCCAGTCGGCGCCTTTCGCAGTCCACACCTCTCCCCTCACGGGCCCCTCTTCCTGACTCTTTGCACCCTCCCGTTCCCTTGGCAACGGCCCGAGGCCTCACCCGGCTTGTAAGCCGAGCCTAGAGTGAGGTCACCGCTGTTGCTATGGGGACGAAGGGTCGCCAAGGAGTTCGCGCCCCGCAAGGGATGGGGTGGGGATTCGTATTTGAAGGAGGCAGTGAGGAAAACTAGGGAAACCGTCTCAGCCAGGCGAGGGATGGCAGAAGGGCCGCAGTGCGGACAGGAGGACCCGAGCGCGTCTGGAAGACGGATGGGGAAGTGGAGGGGCAAGCAGGGGCACCTGCACAGGCAGTGGCACCCCCCACCCTCTCGTCCATGGGCCTTGTCCCCTCCAACCTGAGATTTTCCCTCAGGACAGCCTAACCTTGAGAGTTCTGCCCTGTTCTAGCTCCAGCTCTGCCACTAACTCCCTGGCACCTTGGACAGATCTCCTGACCCTCCAGTTCCTTCACCAGTTAAACTGCCTCCCAGCTTCCCAGAGAGGTGAGGACTCACTGGCGAAAGCCCCCTGGAGCTTGTCTCAGGCCCACAGGTGCGGCCCAGGGCCTCAAGGCCCCAGCTGGTTGCAGGACCACCCTCTGCAAGGCTCTGCCTGTGCATGTTGGGGGAGTGGATGGTGGGGGAAGAGAAACAGGTGTATGACCTTAGAGAAGCTGTCAGGGCCCTGGGGCCATTCCCCAAGTCCAGAATAAATGGCCTCTGCCTCCATCCCTTCCTAGCCTGGCCAGAGGGTGGAGGGTTGGGGTACAGATAACTGGAGGGTTATTCTCTGCCTGCCCCCTTGGTTTCTTCTTGTCTGGCAGCACTTACAGAATCTCTGGGGACAATAGGAGGACAACACAGAGACAGGCACCCCATCCCAACTCACTCCTTTGCTAACCACTCCCTTAACACCATGCCTACTTTGGTCAGCCACCCTCCTGGGGGCTGAGAGAAGCTCTGGGCTCTGCAACCTAGCCCCATGCTCTGCCTTCCATTTCCACTAGCCATTTGACTAGTGGCTCCTCCTTTCTGTTCTGAAAAGACACAGGAGATCTCCATCTAACCCAAAGGCTCCAGATGCTCAGGACCTCCTGGCAGGATTCAGAACTTTAGGGACAGGGTAAAGCCATCTGTCCTAAGGCAAAGCCATGGGGTCAAAAGCAGCAGCAATGCTGGGTTAACCCTTCAAAGGGGCCTTTAAGACTGCAGGCCAGAGAGGGCCTGAGAGGCCATGTGGTGTGGTTTGGTGCAAGGGCAGCAGAGGGAGTGCTTGGCTCCTTTTTCCTGCCCCAAAGCACTGCAGAGTACACCAGGCCCCACCCTGCTCTGCCTCAGGCCCTCTGCCAAGGCCACTCCCGAAAGCATGTGGGGTATTCCTGAGCTTTCCCCTAACTAAGGCCCTAACTGCTATTGTCCTAGACCTCAAGACTTCTTGCCCTCTCCCTTCTTGTGGGCAGTTGAAGGAGCTGTCTCCTGCCTTAAATCCTGGCAAAAAAAGAAGAAAAAATCGAATGGAGGCCCAAGATGTGCCAAGCATTGTACTGAATGTTGCCTGTATGTTATTTCACTTAATGAGGGTGCCGTACAGACCCTGAAAGCCCCTTTGTAGATTTGGGGATGCCCTCAATCTTATCCCTACCCATTCTGCCACCCCACTTGGGCTCCTGGGAACCCACCTTACCCGTAAGGACAGGGTGTCTTTGCACTGCAGACTGATGCCGCACTCATCCGTGATCTCTGAGAGGTCTTCATCCTCAAACTCCTCCAGGCTGATGTCATGGGTGAGCCTGGTGGGGACAGGAAGCCAAAGTTACATACAACACAGGGACTGCTCAGCCCACTGATGTCTCCCTAATATGTCTTCCAAGGGGCAGCCCCTCGAAGGCAGATCACAGCCCCAGAGGATGGGACCTGGAGTCTACCTGTGCCAATGCAAGGGGTAACTAACAGGCAGGGAAAAGAATTTTGGGCTCATGCCCAAAGGCAGTCTTCCTGGGGTGGCAGTAGAAGGGGAGGCTCCAGGCTACTCCTGCTCCTCCCGGCTGGGAGCTGTCCATCCCGCTGCCAAACAAGAGGCAGTGCCTGGAAGGCCCAGCTGGTCAGAGCCTTAGCTCTGCCAGAGAAATGCCTCCCAGGGTCAAGGCAGGTGCCAAAGCCAGTTCACCTATGGAGATTGTGAAGAGTTGAGAAGAGACTCCGCAGGATGCCTGGAGTTGAGGGGCTCCCCGTCCAAGCCCTGCAGCAACAAAACCTGAGGCGCTGGCAGAGGCCGCTCCCAGGCACCATTCCCGCAGCCCGGGAAGACCCACGCTGCTTTAACCATGGAGCAATGAAGGGAAATTTGGTGTCAGTGTGGGTAGTTTCAGCCTATTCCAGGACAGACTAGGCCTCTATTCTGTGTTCTTGGTCTCATCTCTTCAACCACAAAATTGCCTTGCCCAGATATGGACCCCGAACAGGAGGCTGCACAGATGGGGTCGAGGAAGGCCCCGGGTTGGGGGCTGGAGGTGCGATGAGCTCAGGAGGCAGCCCAGAGCACTTCAGCACCAGGACACTAACTGGCTGTACTGGAACCCTCTGCCCCAGGCCAGCCCTGTGCCCCACCGCACTGCGGTGCCCGCCTGCCCCAGCCCTAAGCTCCACCTGCTTTGGTGTGAGTGGGACATTTTGGAGAATTTTGTGGGGGGAGTTGGGAACGATTCTGAGCCTTTTCCCAAATAAGACCAAGACACTGAGGCTTAGAGCAAGAGACTCACAGTCCAAGGTCACCCAGGAGAGGTAGTGGCCCAGCGCCCAGGGCAGCCTAGGAGGCCCAAGCCCTCTATCTCTCACCTCAGTCAGACCAAACAGAGACTCAGAGCTCAATGGAGCTGCCCCCCCCAAGCTTC